CTACAAAATAACAAAAGTAATCGATTATAAGATCGCACACCAACCCAACCCCCACCTCTCACTAGAGTTGATGTCCCCCCTCACCTCTTACTAGAGTTGATGTCCCTTACTAGAGTTAGATGTACGTTAAGGGGGGGGGGGGGGTACGTTGAGGGGGGTACGTTGGGGGGGGGGTACGTTGGTGGGGGGGTTTGTCGGATGTTGGATACGTTGAGGGGGTACGTTGGGGGGGGGGGGACGTTGGCGGGGAGGGGGGGGGGTAAATTGGGGCGGGGGGGAGTCTGGGACCTCGACCCGGGAAGACCGCTCAAAAACCGCTCAAATCTTGCTTGAAAAACCGTTCAAAAATCACCGCAAGAAATGAGCGGTTTTTGAGCGGTTATTTAAGCAAGATTTGAGCGGTTTTTTCCAAAAAACCGCCCAAACCGCTCAAATCTTGCTGGAAAACCGCTCAAACCGCTCAAATCTTGAGCGGTTTTTGAGCGGGATCTCGACCCGGGCATAATCATATCTGATCATTGTAAAATCATGCAAAATTCATGTCTGTTACAGATGTGCAGCATGTCTATTTTCGGCATGCACATACCTGCATCAGACCTGCATCAGGTGTGCTAACTGAAGATATGCTCACACCTGCAGCATGCATGATCATGCCTGAACTGAACATGCTCACACCTGCCGGATACATGATCATACCTGAACTAAACATGCTCACATCTGCAGGATACATGACCATGCCTGAACTAAACATGCTCACACCTGCAGGATACATGACCATGCCTGAACTAAACATGCTCACACCTGCAGGATACATGACCATGCCTGAACTAAACATGCTCACACCTGCAGGATACATGATCATACCTGAACTAAACATGCTCACATCTGCAGGATACATTTCTTTAATTTATTTGCAATTTTTTTGGCTACCGGTTTGCGAAAATTGAACGATTTTTTTATGTTCCGCTCAAAATTTATCAAATTTTGCAAAAATCATGCGTTAAAAAGTAGTCGCACATTTGTTGTTAATTTATTCAATGAGATTAATAGTATCAATCAATCGAATCTTTTTAATTTATTCGAACTTATTGCGGCTACTGGTTCGCGAAAATTGAAGGAATTTTGGCCAAAAAATTTTGTGACGAATTGCTTTAATTATAGTTCAAACTGGGGATTTTTAGTTTTTTTCGACTATCCCTCCCGTTGCCCCCTGAAACTAACCTGACGTCCTCTTTTTTTGGGATGTAGAGACGACATAATTTCCTTCATTTGAAGATGGTTGACTCGAGGAGGTAAATTTGGATAAACTCATTTCGAACAAAATCTGAAAAAGTGAAATTTTAACAACAAAGACCAATTAGTCAAGATACGCGAAGTAATGTATAAATAAATATGTATTTGTCAAGTTTTCAGTCAGGCGTTATCATGTCTGCGGCAGGCATGAACATGTTTCACTCAGGTCTGATCATGTAAGATCCAGGTACGACCATGTCTGTAGAAAAATACGCATGCTCACTTCTGAACAGCCCTGCATAATGGGGGAACAGTCCTGAGAATTTTCTCTCCCCTGCTAAATGGATGATCAGCCGTGAAATGGAACAAAAAGTTCAATACGGGTAATTCTCGTTTTCTAACTAACGGAGGACCGACTATTATAATCAATCGCTAATTCGCTCTGCCTAAGGATAGGCTAATCGTACCTTTTCGCCAGGTTTGTCTATTTGATTTTAGTTACAGTTATGATCGCCGTTACAAGACCTGATTTTTATATTTGTACTTTGGCCCCCTTTCAAAAAGTTTGAACGGAATTCTTCCCCTGTTGGCACTAAGCCTGTATTCAAAGTTGAATTTAGGCATCTCTGTGCAAATATCAAGTCCAATTTCGCCTCTACGCCAAGTTTTGCTTAACTAACAAAAGTCCCAAGGTTTTCATTTAATTATCCCATTCAAGTTCCGACCTAACAGGGGTAGGGGAAGACACTTTTAATGAGTCGCAAATCATAATTCATTCTAAGCGTCTAAAGTTTTGATCTATACTCTATAATCCCGATCTTCTATCATGGGAGCGTAATTCGCTTATAAGGGGTCAAATTATGCCAAAAAGCCACCTCGAGTTTCTATTAGTAGCTCACTCGCCAAGCTAAGCTGAACCCAATGTTTGCCAAGTCCACTTTAATTAGTTCTATTACTTTTACAATGTAAAAGCTATATCTCTGCTTCATCTAACCACTTAGTTTATCGTCTTATTTCCTAGGCCCCCATAAATTATTCATTTTAAAAATCTCAAGAAACATGATGGGTCAGAAACTTGTCAAATTAAATGTTGTATCTAATATATTGTGCATATCAACAAATATGCTCGTTTCAACTTAATTTACGGTTTAACAATCATATTTGGGTTAACTTATTTGTCATCAAAATTCAATTTTGGCATTTTTTTAAGTTTTCACCTTAAAATAGTGAAGGAGGTTTTCACGAAGTAACAAAACATAAAATATGTATGAAAATATTCTGCGACATCTAACTGAATGGCAAAATCACAACTGTTAAACGATTTGAGAGCTCTAGGTGTCTTATTCTCAAGGGACCTGGTTATTTTCAAGGGACCACTCTATCATAGTAGTACCGAGCAAAGTTTTGCTGAGAGACAGAGGGATATCCCTTCAAAAACAAGAGAACAAGAAAACAAATGAACACTGTCAAATCTCTCAAATGGGTACCCGCAACATCAGAAATTGTCGAGAGACTGTTTAGTCGCGTCAGTTTGGTTTATAATGACTACAGAAAAGCGCTGTCTCCGGCCATATAAAGTACAAAAGGATAGATTTCGCTCCTTGTAACAAATCAATTATGGCAAATAAGCTTCTTTCAACCAATTTGGAACAATTTCTAAGACGGATTAAATCTCCGCTTACGCATTGATAGCGCGAAATATATCGCCCGTTAATTGTCTAAAATTGGCCAAAATGGCAATCTTTAAACCCCCATAACTTTACGAAAAATGATCACAGGTGTAATATCTTTTCAAATTTAAGCTCAAGACAGCAATACCTTTTGAATGATATAGGAAAAAAACCCGTCAAAAATGGCTAGTTAAAAAGTCGAAACTTGTCTGAAGAAAAAAAAACCCAAACCGAGCACAAATTTTCTGTTACCTTCGTATCGAAAGTCGGAACAATAATTTTTTGAAGCTTCTAGGCAATATAAAAAGTATTTGGACCAAGTTAACATCCTCCCCCCTAAACAAGTTTAGGGGGGAGGATGTTAATTTGGTTCTAAGTTGGGAATTTTCAGCCAATCAGAATCGAGCAATTTACATGCAGCGCTTAGCAAATTTAATTTAAATTAAGCCCTGGGGTGGAGGATCTTATCTTAATTTGGTCTATTGGGGGGGGGGGGGGGGTGGAGGATGTTAACTTGATCCAAGTATTTAAATAATTTATTTTCTGAAGCTATCAATGACAATTATTGTTCTGACTTTCGATATGAAAGTAACGAAAGATTTGTGCTCGGGGTGGGTTTTTTTCTTCAGAGAAATTTTGACTTTTTATTAGCAATTTTGGACGGAATTTTTTATATCATTCAAAATTATTGTTGTCTTGGGCTAAGATTCGAAAAGATATTTCACCTGTGATCATTTTTCGTAAATTTATGGGGGTTTAAAGATCGCCATTTTGACCAATTTGGGACAATTAACGCGCGATATATTTCGTGCTATTAACGCGTTAGCAGCAAAATCAGAATTCAGAAAAATTCGAATTTACATACAACGCTCTAGTGCGAATTTACTGTTTTTGTTTACAGGGGTGGAGATTCTTTAATAGATACAATAGGGGTGGGGGGGGGATTGTTAAGTAGATCCTGGAAATTTAATCTGTCTTAGAAATCGTTCCGAATTGGTTTAAAGAAGCTTATTCGCCATAATTGATTTGTTATAATGAGCAAAATCTATTCCTTTGTACTTTATATGGCGTGTGGGGATCTAGGACAACAAGCCGACGGGACTTCAAGCCGAAGGGACTTCGAGCCGAAATTAAAACTTTACAAGCACCCCAAAACGCTATTTTATCATCTGCAAAATGTTGCTTTCCTAAAATTTTGGCAAGTTTAGTCCATAATAAGCGTTATTCATGACAATGCACCACTTGTGATTCGCATCCGTTAATAACATCAGCCGGTTTTTGAAATGCATAAATTATAAACATGAAAAATGCTTTCAACCGTGTTTTACTTTTCAACTTTCCGGAACATCATTTGAAAGCTTAAATTATATGCAAACGCCAATAACTAGTGAAGAAAGATCATGAAATTCAGAAATTCTTCAAAAAAGTTTTCAAATTGTTCATATTTCACTTTATAAGGAATGATTCGGCTTGAAGTCCCTAATTTTACAATTCGGCTTGAAGTCCCGTCAGCTTGACGTGGGTCTAGGATAACAAGCCGACGGGACATGAAGCCGAAGGGACTTCAAGCCAAAATTAAAGCTATACAAACACCCCAAAACACTATTTTATCATCTGTAAAACGTTGTTTTCAAAACCTTTGGTAATTTTAGTCCATAATAAACGTTATTCATGACAATGCACTACTTCTGATCGTCATCCGTTAATAACATCAATCGATTTTTGAAATGCATATTGTTCATATTTCACGACTTTATAAGGAATTATTCGGCTTGAAGTCCCTAATTTTACAATTCGGCTTGAAGTCCCGTCGGCTTGACGTCCGGCACCCGGCGTGTGGGGTGATGATTTCAATAGCAAAAATTTCAAATTTTACAATTTTTTTTTCATTTTATTTTATTGCATATAATTTTTTTCATTTTACTACTGCTCCATAAACCTTAAAAGGCAGTCGGAACATTCAGGGCTTCGCCCTGATACGAGCTGTCTTGTTTATTTTATTAGCACAATAAATATTTACCAACCCCTGATTCTAAAGTGGACCGAAATATAAAAGGATGAATCAAAATTAGGGCTGAAGCAAGTTTTGTTTCTTACCTGCAGAGAAGTAGCAGAAAAACAGCAGCACCAGAAGCGGGCCAAAAGTTCACTGAGCCAAACATCTTGATCAAACTAACTATTTTATCAATAGGCAATATGATTCTTATTTCCCTGAAACTGCAAGTAATTCTCAAATACGTTAGATATCTATCTTGAGCACTGAATTATTCATGTATCGAAAAGACAAAAGAACATATAGCAGAAAAGGGATTTGAAAAGTAAATTGTTACAACACCTGCTGCTTAATTGGAGCAGTCCTTTAATAGTGGAAGTCTTGAAGAAATAAAAAGTTCCACGCAAATTTGGAATAGCTAGGGAATTGAAACCGACAAAACTAATTTAGAAAAAATATCAAAACAGTTTTCATGCAGTTTCTTTTTCCAGACAAACTGGAGAGGTGAGAACAATGGGTCTAGGACAACAAGCCGACGGGACTTCAAGCCGAAGGGACTTCAGGCCGAAAATTAAACTTTACAAGCACCTCAAATCAATATTTTTTCATCTGTACAACGTTGCTTTTCAAAATCTTACGCTAGTTTAGTCCATAATAAGCGTTATTTATGACAATGAATCACTTAGGATTGACATCCGTTAATAATATCAGCCGGTTTTTGAAATGCATAAATTATAAACAAGAAATTTGCATTTAGCCGTGTTTTATTTTTCAACTTTCCTAAACATCATTTGGAGGTTTAAATTTTATGAAAACGCTGATAAATACCGACTAAAGATCATGAAAATGAGAAAATCTTCAGAAAAGTGTTCAAATTAATCTTATTTCATGACTTAATGAGAAAATTTTCGGCTTGAAGTCCCTAGTTTTACGATTCGGCTTGAAGTCCCGTCGGCTTGATGTCCGGCACCCGAGAACAATTACATAATAATTCTTCGTCTTTAAAGTCGAAATAACTCTACTCAATAACAAAAAAAAATTCGATATAAAGTGATATAGGGTCTAGGACAACAAGCCGACGGGACTTCAAGCCGAAGGGACTTCAGGCCGAAAATTTAACTTTACAAGCACCTCAAATCAATATTTTTTCATCTGTACAACGTTGCTTTTCAAAATCTTACGCTAGTTTAGTCCATAATAAGCGTTATTTATGACAATGAATCACTTAGGATTGACATCCGTTAATAATATCAGCCGGTTTTTGAAATGCATAAATTATAAACAAGAAATTTGCATTTAGCCGTGTTTTATTTTTCAACTTTCCTAAACATCATTTGGAGGTTTAAATTTTATGAAAACGCTGATAAATACCGACTAAAGATCATGAAAATGAGAAAATCTTCAGAAAAGTGTTCAAATTAATCTTATTTCATGACTTAATGAGAAAATTTTCGGCTTGAAGTCCCTAGTTTTACGATTCGGCTTGATGTCCGGCACCCGAGAACAATTACATAATAATTCTTCGTCTTTAAAGTCGAAATAACTCTACTCAATAACAAAAAAAAATTCGATATAAAGTGATATAGGGTGATTGCTCATAAAAGGTGACAGGCAAATAAGGCGACAACCGCTGTTGATGGGGTGAATTCCCATAGGTTCCAATATTCATAGGTTTCAAAATAAAAAATCAGTCGCATAGTTCCAAAATTTATCTTCTTGAATTCTGATTGGTTGAAATTTGAGCCAACGAATTTATGGATTGATTGTTTACTGTTCAACCAGCATAAACTCAAGCTGCAGAATAGTGACCGCCGCAGCCGCAGCCGCGCCAACGTGTTGCGAGCTTGCCACCAAAGGGTAGGACTCTATACGAAATTTAGAGCCGGTTATCGCCGCGAAGCGGCGACGCGCGCGTAGCGCACCGCCCACCGGCGACCTTAAACCGAGACTCGGCTAATTTAGTCTTTTGACCAAATGGAAAGATTTGGAACTTATGCGACTGCTTTTTTAATTTGGAACCTATGGGACTGATTTTTCATTTTGGAACCTATTATGAATACGCACCGTTGATGGGATTTTCAGCCGACAAAGTACATTTCTGAATAATTGAAAACGCGAAATGATTGTTTTAACACGCGAAATACATTTCTGAGAAACACTAAACGTAAAACGATTGTTTTGAATGCATTTCTGAGAAATAGAAGAAAGACATTTTAACAATTAAACACGCATCAACCTTTACTTTCTGTTTTTCGATCAAAATGAGGCCGAAAAAGATAACATCGGCGGCTAAATGAGAAAATAAGGGCTGAAATTCTGGAATTTAGGTGCGGTTCGTTATCTGTAAGAAATTTTTGGGTTGGCATTGCTGGTGACGTCCCATTTGTACCAACGGTCATTTGTACCAAAATGAAAAATCGGTCCCATTTGTACCAAAATTATTCAACTCGATTTCTGATTGGTCAAATTGTGAGCCAACGAATTATTACATTAATTTTCTACTGTTCAAACAGAAGAAAACTAAACAGCAGAATTGTGACCGCCGCAGTCGCGCCAACGTGTTGCGAGCTTGCCAACACAGGGTAGGACTCTATACGAAAATTAGAGCCGGTTATCGCCGCAAAGCGGCGACGCGCGCGTAGCGCGCCCACAAGCGACCTTAAACCAAGAGCTTAAAGTAGTCGGCTTAATAGTCTTAGGCCAATTGAATATTTTTGTTACTAACGGGATTGATTTTTTATTTTGGTACAAATGGGACTGATTTATCATTTTGGTACTCGTGAATACCAACCGGCATTGCTAGTATTAGCAGTAGTTTTGTATGCTAATAAATTTTTGTCGTCTAAATGTCTTGTCGCCTTAATATCCTGTCGCGTTATTTGAACAATATATTTTGTCTGTTTCAACTGTTAGCAACTGTTTTAACTGTTCGGAACTAATCGTGGGTCTAGGATAACAAGCCGACTGGACATCAAGCCGAAGGGACTTGAAGCCGAAATTAAAACTTTACAAACACCTCTGAACATTATTTTATTATCTGCAAAACGTTGCTTTTCAAAAATTTAAGCATGTTCAGTCCATAATAAGCGTTGTTCCAATCTCCGCTTACGCGGTAAAAGCGCGAAATATATTGCGCGTTAATTGTCCCAAATTGGCCAGAATGGCAATCTTTAAACTGCCATAACTTCACAAAAAATGATCACAGGGGAAATATTTTTTCAAATTTTAGCTTAAGACAAGAATATTTTTCGAATGATATTTTAAAAATCCGTCACAAATGGCTATTTAAAAGTCTAAATTTGTCTGAAGAAAAAAATTTACCCGAGCAAAAATATTCCATGATTTTCGTTACAAATGTCAGAACTACAATTGAACAGTTAAACATATACGAATTTTGTGCCTTGTTACCCGGGTTGAGGTACTCGACATATGTTATGACTTTGAAAGTCGAGCAAGTGCAGTTTTGCAACTGCACTGAAAAAACTCTCCCGAGCAAAAATATTCCATGATTTTCGTTACGAATGTCAGAACTACAATTGAACAGTTAAACATATACGAATTTTGTGCCTTGTTACCCGGGTTGAGGTACTCGACTTATGTTACGACTTTGAAAGTCGAGCAAGTGCAGTTGGCAATTTTAAGTTGAGCACAAAGTCGAAACTGATCAATTGTACAACTTCCCTTCCAAATCGATTGAGGAGGGAGAAAATATGGATTTTTCATCGGCTTATTTTGAGTATAGCCTAGATTCATTCAAAATTAAACTTATTACTAAAGAAATATCAATTGAAACCTTAATTTTGCTTAATTAACAGCATATACAAATGCAATCCCGCATAAAAAATGTAAAACCAATTTTATTTTTGCGCGTTTGTATGAAATGCACATTTTATACAGAATCATGTTTCAGAAACAATACATGCTTGGGGAGGGGATTCCACGGTAGGTCTCATAGGGGGGGAGGGGGGTTAGATTTTGCGGTAGATCACGACCTAATTTTTAAAAAAGATTTGTATTAAATTTAGATCGGAAATTGAGCGCAAAAACTGCTCAAAAAAGACCTCAGTCAGAAAGTTGCAACCCGCAGCAGTCAATTGAGGATATTTGCTTACCGCAAAGCTAAAAGTTTCAGAGGGATCCTTTCAGTTTTGGAAATCTAATTTCTCAAATATCAGTTTTCACATCAACAGTTTCAGACCAGATAGTTGAAAAAAATAAAAGCTAAATTGGAAAATTCAACTAGAACAAAAGTTTTTGATTGAGGAATTTTGCATTTTGCCGAAACAATTTCTCCGAAGCAATAATTAGTTGGGAATCTTTAAGGCTCTTCCCTCTGATAGGTTTTCTCGAGGAGGGCTTCCTCCTGATAGTTTCAGGGCTTTTTCCTGAAACAAAGAACCTTGCTGTTCTGACTTTCAAAGAAAATTTTGGGATTTTTTTTGGTCGAGAAAATCCCAATTTTAGTCGGGTCGAAACGTACCTGACAATTTGTTTTTGGTCGAAACATACCCAAATTTAGTCGAGAAAATTGAAACCTATCGAACTTTGGTCGACAAATTCGAAACATATCTTAACTGCGACGAACAATGTCGAACAATTTTTTGTTGGGTCGAGAAGGTCGAAACATACCAAAATTTGCAAATAAGTAAGTATTTGATCGAGCGGAGACTCTTTAGGTTCTTTTTATTTTTTGCGCCCAACCATCAATATTTTGAACTGAAATGTTTTCCCCTTTTTTTTTGAGGAAAATGACGATATACTTGTGCTCGGGATGGATTTTTTCAGACAAATTTAGATTTTTTAACAGGCATTTTTTACGGATTTTTTTTGTCATCCAAAAATTTTGTTGTTTTGAATTCAATTTCAAAAAAATATTTTCACTGTGATCAATTTTCATAAGCTTATAGGTGTTTAAAGAACTGCCAATTTGGCCAATAGAGACGATATATTCCAAGCTTTTCATGCGTAGGCGGAGATTTTATCCGTCTTTTAAATTGTTTCATTTCGATAACTGCAAGCTATTTGTTGTAATTGCAATTTTACTAGGAGCAAAACCTATGAGTTTTTTGTTTATGGCGTGTGAGGAATGATTTCAAAAAAATTTCATTTTTTTTAGTTTTTCACATTTTTCTTAATTTTTCACATTGTTTATAAAAAATTGTCATTATTTTACAGCGAACACTGATTCATAGGTTTTTCAAAACAGTCGAAACAGTCAGGTTTTTGCCTTGATACGAGCAATCTTTTTTTGCTTCAATATGTTTGAATAAAAATTTTCAAGCAAATTTAGTACCAGCTCAAATACTTTTGTTCACAATTTTATATAGACATAAAAATAGCCGAATGGGCTCAGATTATAGATCGCAGCTGAATTCTTCAAAAATTTTTC